TATCCCCATATAATGAGCAATATAATTTTTATTCTTTTTTAACAGTTATACGATAAACGCGTATTGTCCTTTCGCATAATTTTTGATGATTCATTTTTCCAACACAAAATTGGAATCGATAGTTTTTTTTTTTTTTTTAAAGATATAACCTCGCAAAAGAGAGAAAGAGAAAGAGAAAGAAAGAAAGTGAATGAAACATTTAACGATTGGAAACGTAATACGACTTCTGATTACGTTTTATCATATCGGTGGTAAAAATGGAAAAAGAGAGAGAGAAAGAAGATATAAGTAGATAATATAATTTTATTTTACACCTACGCTTTGTCCGAACTCCATGAGATTAAAATCTAATTATCGATATTTTCTATGAAAAAAATATATATAAAAAACAAATAGTAATGAAATAATCAAAAGAAAAGAGCACAGTTGGCTTGGCTGATAACGATGACAGAAATTGAACGTATATATTCACGTATAATATCTATATACGTATGTGTGTGTGTGTGTGCATTTCTGTTTTTAATTTATTACGTAATTATTATATATAATTTAAATATACATTGTGCGTGTGTATTTTTAAATACAGCGTAATTATGTTTAATATAAAATTACTCGATTTTATTAACTTAATAAACGTTGAGATTATTTTTTCTTGTTTTTTTCTTGGTTCTTTTTTATACCAATGAAACTCCTATAAAAATATGACAAATAAAAAAATGTGTTTTATAATCAATAACCGAGTTTGTATAATATAATTAATATACGAGTTTGTTTTTTATTCAAAGTTATGGTAATTTTAAAAATCTGTAATTTCATGCGGCACACATTTTGAATCTTAAAAAGATGTTTCATAAATTTCAATTCATTCGTTTTCTTTTATTTCACTCGGTCGTATAAAAATCAATAAAGAATTTAACGAATTCCGGGAGAGGAGGGGGAGGGTGGGGGAAGAAAAAATAAAGAATAGTGAATAAACTTGATCGAAGTGTTTTGGTATCGTTGGTTTCCATTTAAAAGCAGTATAGTGTCAGAGTAATTCGTTGATCCGTCCTAAAGTTAGGTAGTTTAGTTAGAGAGTTTAATTAAACCTCTTTGGTAAACCATTATTTCGGTTAGGGTCAATTCTTCTTTTCTCGATATGTTTTAAACACACTTATCTCTCCGTTTGAAATATTTAAAATAAACTATAATTTATTTCTTACAATATATATTGGATTTGTGTGTGTGTGTGTGTGTGTGTCTATCGATTAGAAACAATAAATTATCGTTAATATAATCGAGTTTTATTCGATTTTCAATTGTCTCAAATATAATCTAATATATACACACACATATATATTTATTTATTTATTTATTTATTTGTTTACTTATTTATTAATTATTTAATTGTTTTCATGTTTGAGTTCAAAACTTTTCAACCCACCCCGCGTAAAATATAACTCAAAATTCACTAGATCATATTTCAAAAATAGAATTAATTATTTGTGTACGTAATTTAACAAATTTACATTTATTCTTTTTTTATACGAATGATAAATATATATTTCTTTGGAAATGAATTTATTCAAATTAATTTTACAAATTACATGGTGTATTTCAAATGGCTATTATTTTATTCTTTCTACAACGGTGGTTTTTTATTTTTTTTTTTGACCACCGTATGTATATTTATGTGAAAAATATTTTCTTTATTTATAATCTCGCGTGTGGGCATATGTTTTATATATTTAAAAAAAAATTAGATTAGATTTAACGAAACTTATCGTTGATAATAATACAAAGCTATGCCATATGCGAGAATATTATTTCGATGAATCATTTTCTCTCTCTCTCTCTCTCTCTCTCTCTCTCTCTCTCTCTCTCTCTTTCTCTTTCTTTCTTTTTCTTTCTTTCTCTGTTATTAATTTAAATACATGCACACATTCACAAATTTTCACGTCTGTGTTATTATATCCTTCCTCATAATTTCCTATGATTTCTCATTCATATCATTTCTCATAAAAAAAAAAAAAAACAGAAGGAATAAATTAATTGAAAAATATTATGATCTAACCTTTGACTGATTGTGAGAGTCGAAGCGGAAAAATCCGAACTTGATTCGAATCTGTAAGCAAAATAAAAAACAAAAAATAAATAAGTTATAGTAATTCTCTTTTTGTTTTTGTTTTTTTTTTTTTTTTTCAGTTTCTTTTTTAAATAAAAAATATTCATCACATATCTTTTATCCCGTTATTTGCTATAATCGTATTTTAATTAAAAGACATTTCGATAAATCCTTCAACGAGCATAATCTTTTAACGTTTCATCCAATTAACGTGGTGTCTCGTTCGAATGCTTATGGAAAATCACGTTAATAGTAATAGCACGTTAATATCATTTAATTTAAACATAAAACAAACTTGTGTGTCTTGGAACGAATCGTTAATATTCTTAATTATCCGTCTATCGTAACTATAAGTATGATCGATTTTTTTATTCTTCATTGTAAGAGGAAAGACAAATAATGGATGAAAAATTTCCAAGTATACTTCGTTTAAATCTATTTTCTTTTTTTTTTTTGTTTTGTCAACGTCTTCGATAAAATTTGGATAATTAAATCAATATAACGTTTAATTAATTTCCAACTAATAACATTAATTATGCTAATTGCAATTCGTTTTATTTTTTTTAATTTGTTTTTTGCTTTTCTTTCTTTTCGAGAAAAACAATTATTAAGCGAATCACACGTTAACTTAGTGTAAATAATAATTCATCTCGATAAATATGCAAATATTTTTGTTTATTTGATATAAATGATTTGATGGTTGAAAAGTTTTGAACCTAACACGAGGAGGGTTGAAAAGTTTTGAACCTACCACAGAACATATATTTTTGTACAATAATAAACATGACTGAAAAAAATGAAAAAAAAAAAAAAAAAAAAAAAAAAACAAAAGAAAAAGAAATTTCTAAAAGAATATTTCTATTCGACTTTTAAAATAAAAATCTAAAATTTTATAAATTTTCATTTTATATTGATTTTATATATTGAAAGGAAGTAAAATTAACTTTGAAAAGGAATCCCCTTTCTGAATTTTTTTTTTTTATATCGTTGGTAAAAAGAAAAATAGAAAGAAAGAAAAAAAAAAAGGAATAGAAAAGAAATGAAATGAAATGAAATGAAATGAAATGAAAAGAAAGACATTATTAGATCGAGGAAAAAAAATTTGCTTGGAAAACTCTTTCACGAGTGAACCAACGTAGGTTGTTCTGTTGTATATAAAAATCGAAGTCACTGTCGTAACTTCTTAAGGTAAAAAATATGCGAGTTGTGTTATAAACTAATAAGAGAGAAAGAGAGAGAAAGAGAGAGAGAGAGAGAAAATATAAGGGATAGAAAGGAGAAGACGGAAAAAAAAAAAATGAATATAAAAAAACATGAACGAAGAATCACCCTTTTAATACACCACCTACACACATTGTAATATATACTTACATCTCTTGTATTACGAATATTATTACTACGATCGTAAAAAATAAAAAATGCATAAATATTTAAAGCAAAAAAGAAATGAGGAGCAATATCGAAGTATATATATATATATATATAAATATATACATGTGGTTTGTCTGTCTGTGTGTGCATATAAAATTTTATGAATGTATTTATATAAAAATACATATATGTATATATTCAAATCTAAGTATATATTATATATATATATATAGGCATGTGTTATATAGAAGTGTGTGTTTGTTATATAGTTATTATAATATCTTCCCATTTGTTCAACTTATTATGTATATAAGGCTTTAGGGGTGTCGTTATCCTACCCAACTGGGACATTTGATGAAAATTTCATTTTCCTCCTCCTCCTCATCCTCCTCCTCCTCCTCCTCCTCCTCCTCCTCTGACTTTGCTATACATTCGATGTCATCTCTATAACAACGTGACTAATGAAATGTCTTGAAAATTTACTGGATTTTATTTGAACGAAGGAATAAGAGAATAATCTCTGTAGTATATAGAAATTGATAAGAATATATTATATTTTATATATATATATAACAAAAAGACGTACAGATGATTTAACATCAGAATCGAACAACCGAAGAGAGTTTTAAACGACAACCCTTATCTCTTTAGATAAGACATTTCAACGAGAGAGAAAGAGATAGATAGATAGATAGATAGATAGATAGATAGATAAAAGGATAGAAGAAGAAAGATGGTTCTATATAGAAAGCTGATTTCCTTCTGTTTATCTTGCGAATGACAGCTAACGTACGAATTATTCTTCCTTATCATTGTAATAGTAATAGTAGTAGTAGTAGTATAGTAATAGTAATAGTAGTTGTAGGTGTATTCAATATGTACGAATATATGTATAAATGTTCTTGCTCATCGTTTTATAGTAAATAGTGATAGTAATAGTATATATACGTGTTCCTATTCATATATTTACGCGAATGCATATGCAAATATTCTTCCTTTTCTGTTTGCAATAGTTGTAATAGTAGTAATAGTATTATTCGTGATATTTCAAGCTCACTCAAGTTATGTCAAAATGATCGATTCTCATTCCCTAGAATTAGCCTCGAATATATATTTAAGGTTCTTTCACCATTTTCCGTTGATTTTAACTTCGATTAAAGTGTCTCATCGTTCATCTTACTTTCTTCCCTTTTTTTTTTTTTTCTGTTTTTTTTTTCTTTTCTTTTTTTTCTTATTTTCCTCCCCCATTTTTTTGTCATTTTTACTGAACGTTTACTCAACGACAAAATATTCCATCTTTTCCCCCCCCCCTTTTTCTTCTTTTTATTTAAGATAAAGCTGTCAACTAAAAAAAAATAAAAAAAAAAGGAATTTAGTGTGTGGTCTATTAATACGATAACTTTAAATTCATCCGATAATATATAACAAAAAATAATCAAACTGTGTTTGGGTAATCTTTTTCTTGTTATTTTAAAAAAAAAAAAATAATTTCGTGCGAAATTAATAAAAAAAAGGAAAGCAAAAAAAAAAAGAAGAAAAAATGAAAATTAAATGAACGATTTAATCGTTCATATTTTTCAATGACCTTTTCAAATCACTTTAACTATCTTTTTCCAAGTTTCAACATTTCCAATGACCTTTTCTGAACTTTCAAATAAGAAAAGATCTTTCTTCTGAGATATATAGCTAATGAAATTTTTCAAATTGCAATCCTACGTATTTCATAGACAAAATTATTATTAATTTTGATAGAATTGATAACAAGTGAACTGTCGTTTAGTAGAGATAATATAGTTGTTTTTTTTTTTTTTTTTATTTATTAACCTTTTATAATTTTTAAGGGGAAGGAACAAAAAAAAGAAAAGGTGGTCTTTTCGCTGATCGTGTATTGTGACAAGTGTCGAATAAAAGCATATTGTACATGTTGAAAGGGTATTCTATAGCATATGACCTTTCATGACCTTTCCCTCACTCTTTCTTTCTCTCTCTTTCTTTTTTGCTTTTTGCACATATATACCAGTTTTTGTTGTTATTGTTTTATTTAAGGTTTCATATCAAAGGTAAATGCATTATAAAAATGCTCGTATTTCTATTGAATATTTCATATGCGAATTTCTTAAAATTTCAATCTTCATTAAACTAGCCCTTCAGGAGTCTTCAGGTGTAAATTAATTAGTCGAATTTAATTAAGGTATTATTTATATGGATTGTTTGTACTGCTTTAAAATTTTAATATTTATGAATGCAGGATTGCAATACTACGCGATCTAATATACTATTCTATTTTATTTTATTTTTATTTTAAAAAGAGAGCGAGAGATAAATAAAAGTAGAAAAATACCGTTTTTACATGAAATTGTTGAAAAATTCTATTTCGTCAAATACTCTACTCTCTTCAAATATTATATATCTAAAAATACTATAGAAAATATCGCAAAAAATTACTCATATATATATATATATATATATATATATATATTATGATATAGATAATAATAATGGTGGGTTGAATAATTTTGGATTATGATCAAATGGAATTAAGATAAATTCAAATTCGTATAATTTGGATATATTTGTAGTTCAAGGAAAATGATGGTTGAAGGTCATCCATCAGTCCTATCAATAAGAGAGAGACGAACTCATCGATTTATTCGAATTTGACGATGAACACTTCCCTCACTCCCCCACCACCCCTTTTTCTTCTCCTCATCCTTATCCTTTTAGCTCTTAGCAAACTATGACCTTTCACAGGACCCTTCCTCATTTCTATCCTATCTTTATGCATAAGATTTGAGAATTCTCACACTTACTCTGTTTTGACTTAATCAACCTAATTAATTCATCCGCATGTATGGACATTATTACTCACACACGCGACCACACGTGTATTGTGCTTTGATTTTCATGATAAAAAAAATATTAAAAATCATATTACATTTCACAAAAACAATAATCATAATTTATATATATATATATATAATTTTTTTTCGAAGAAATGTTATGAAACGAAATTAAAAATATAAAATATTAATCATTTTTCGCGTATATGCATTTGAAAAAAAAATAAAAAAAATAATAATATCAAACGTTGACACATAAAGCCAATACCATTTCTACGTATTATTTTATTTACTTTATTTATTTTTATTTCTTTCCCTTTCGCGTTTATTGAATCGAAAAAAAAGGCCGAGGATTTTTAATTAAAAAAAAAAAAAAAATAAATAAATAAAATAAAATAAAATGACGAACGCGTGTATTGATTTAATCGGTATATCGCAGAATATAAATATTTAATTATTATTTTATATATCATTGTGTGATATTTTTCTAATTTAATTCTTCCATCCGATAGAAATTATTTGTTTCATTCTGTATAATAATACATTATTTCAATAGTATGTAACGAATAATTACGTATTCTAATTAAGTCATGCTAATTAAACATCTTGCATGTTCGTATAAAAGACGTAAGTAATGGAAGAAATATAGGAGAAAAAAATTTCAATTCATTTAATATTAAATATACAGAACATATATTATACGTGTATTATATATTTTGTTCGTGTGCGTGTGCGTGTGCGTGTAAATACTTTTTCAACGAATTCTCGAGTCACTCTCTTTCTCTCTCT